CAAACACACACCACACACACACACACACACACACACACACACACACACACACACACACACACACACACACACACACATCCACATCCACCACACATAAAACCAGATGTCTGCTCTTCCTCCTCCTGTATGATGTGGAAAGCAGTTGCTGCCCACCCGGGCGTATCCATGGCAACTGGCCTGCGGTTGGTTGACAGGGTGGGACAGTGACATCACTGGTCTCTTTCAGGATTGCCACAGAGATAGTAACACCGCCAGACAAGTATAAAAAGAGGAAGAGGAAGAAGTAGAGGAAGGGAGGAGGGACAGTGTGAGGTCATGGCCGCACATACACAACACACGAAACACATAAACCCTCTTTACTGTATAGTAATTAATTATGTAACAATGTATTTACTGCGTGCTATAAAAAGACCATATGATGAGTAAAGCAGGTAGGGGCACTAAAGTAACATCTGCTGAAAGGTGGGACCTTCTGGAAGATTTATAAACTTTATTCAAAGTAGGTTTTTATCCCCTCAAAAGAGTAATACCAGGTGTAACAAACCCCTAAACTGAACGATGGCACCACGTCATTCTTTACCTCATAACACAACACTGCTCAGGATTGATATTATTTTAGGGAGGGGAGAGTGGCAAATGCAGTGATTCTACCATAGGAAGGGTCATGAAACAAAGCAGTTCCATTATGTTAGGTCTTCCATTCCTGTGCCTGCAGTTTTGGTCATGTTTGAGGTTTGATCACTAGAGGGTGCCAGACACATGACCAGTGTGTTTCTCTTGCTCTGAACATAAGTTAATGACCATACAGGGGGCTGACACATTCAAAGACACAGTGATCTAATCTTGTAGGAAATGTTGCCTTTGAGAAGCTTAATGTGTTAATCCAACTTCTGAATAATGTAGTCTGCTGTGGTCTTTCAGTAGACTGCATTATGATGTTTATATTATTATATATTCAACCATTTGTCTTCCACCTAGTTCCTATCTTCTCCCACATCCTTCTCCCTAGCCACTTCTTACCTACCCTCCCTACCAACTGTCTTACTAACTCAATATTTTTTACAGTGGGTAAATTCATTAGGTGCCACATTACAGTCCCTAGAGTATAAAAACTGATATTAGAGTAGTTTTTCATTAGACGGGACAGGTCGTACTCAGAGAGAAGGATTTGGATTTAAATTAAAAATGTATTTATTACTACTACAACAATTTATTCCTGGATGGCGTTATAAGCAGTTTAAGGGATTTATGCAAAATAGATGTCAACATGATGAAATGCGCCAATATTTCTAACATTTGCCTCGTATGACGCCCCTTACAGTGCCTGAAGCAGTAGTGAGGTAGTCAACATGAGGAACATGCTTCCCCCTCCGGTCACAAAACGTGTTTCTTGCCCACTTTGGCAAGACCTCATGCAGCTTACAGGAAGCAGAAGTAAAAGCCATTTCCCACCATAAAGGGAAAAAAAAGGAAATGACATAGGGAGGAGCAGGGAAGAGTAGCCACATGAGAGGCAACGGGGTACAGACAGCTGCTACAGAGCGAAAAGACATAGGGGAGGGTCAAACAAGACCCAATCTCCAACCTGATGGGCACAGTGACTGACAAACAAGTTTGTTTGTTTGTTAGCGGTCCAAAAACAGCATCTTTGGAGGTTTATGGCTCCATTCATTTGTATATTGTAGCACACAAGTGACAGTTTGCAAGCTATCTTGATCGCTAACAGGACGATACGTTTATTCACAAGTCATATTAACTCCTTTCTCATAACTGTCTGCAAGCAGTTTATGCTACAACAAAGGAGGTCAAATAAAAGTGGAAAATACAACACAGCTAATTAATTACAGTAGTGCCCTCAATTTTGGCCTCTCTGGTTGTCACTTCCATCAAAGGTCAGCACTTGTCAGAACAGCTTGCTATTGGTCAAACTGACTATAAATGACTGCCTGCTGAGACTCAGTTTGATCGAAAGACAAGTTTTAGTGCCTGTTATTGTTAATAATAATTGTGCATATTGATTTAAACATGTCTCCAGTTCGTTTCCTGTTTCTGCTGCTGTCCTGATACAACATACAAGTCAGTAGATTTTTGTTTGTTGAATGAAAGGTTAAATAGCTATTACTCAATTATCACAATAAGTAAAGTAAGGTCTAGGTATAGCGATGTAGCACAGCACTTCTGAGCACAACTAATCAATGCAGTTCCATCAGAATGAATTGGTTTTCCTTCAAAATGACTCTGAACTATGTAAAAGTATACTGAAAATACTACTTTCAGAAGAATAAGATAGTAGAATAATATTGTTAAATTAAATCATTACCAATGATTGATCTGTCCTTAAACCTGCCTACCCTTCTTCTGGCACCATTCCTCTCATCCAAACCTTTCCTCTCTCATCTTGTCCATTCTTCTTTTAAATTGATCTCATGTCTGTAAATTTTTTTTTTACATCTCAGTACTGATATATGTGGTGTAGGGCAGGTTGTCGGCCCGTTCTGTTCTAAGTGTAAGACAGACTGAGTGTGTAAGATTGTCAGGACTTTACTTCAAGTCATTTTGCACACATTACTTTGTTACAATTCTTGTCCAGAATAGTCTACAAATACATTTCAAGTAGTCTGCTTACATCAACTGATTACACATTGTGGTGCAGTCCTTGCAGCTCAGTCCAAGGTTGGGTGATTGTTTCTCATACCAACAAGGCTAGAGGTAAATATAGGATGTACATTACTATATTTATAAATAACCACTGTCTCACTGATGTTAAGACTCCAAGACCATAAATCAAAATCAAATGTGAAGTTGGAAAAAATGTTTAGAAACTACAGAAGAACAGGAAAGAGTGTTGAAAGTAGCAGCACAAGCACCGAGGTTGTAATAAGTTACTTTCACCTGCTTAATATCAACAAACTTATAAATATGCTATAGGTATAAACAAAATAAATGATTAAGCAGCCAAGTTCCTATCAAGTTCCAGTCCAACATGAGCCTGATATGCTGCATTATAATGGACAATGCGCTCTGATAAGATGCTGGCTCTCTTCAGAATTGACAGCGGTGTTAAAATAGCCTTCTTGTATGTTGCTATATTTGTTACATTCCTGCCGTAGAAAGAGACAATACACTGTTGTTTTAAAATACATAGACCTCTAAATTGTCTCTTTACAAGTAACACTGAACGACCTCGAACTGCGCCGATTATTTTGATCCAGACAATGGCTTAAGGGCACAGTTACAAAAGGCCAATTCTATGATAAGAAAGTGGTCTTCTGTTTTGTTCAGTGTCCAGATGCCATTTAGAGTAGTGTGTGATTACATTCAGCGGAGACAAACAACAGATTTGTGTGACAGATGCAGCCAAGAAAAGCTTTACTTCCTCCTGCAGAACAACTCTACTGTGACTCCAAACACACACACACACACACACACACACACACACACACACACACACACACACACACACACACACACATTACAGCTTCTGCAATGCTTCTTACTGCTCTGCTGTACTGACCTGTCCCTCTTGCAAAATATATGTAAATCTTATGACTTTACCTCATTTAATAATTGTAATATACACTGTGTGTAATTTGGCTAAACTTTCTGAGGGTATACATGTATCAGTGAAGAAGGGTACTTGGTTCACAGAGCTTTGAAAGTATTTCTGGTGCCACAGTACAGTCTTCAGGTAGCTGAAGATGAACTTGAGTAGAAACAGGCAGATGGTGAAATGATGAGTGAAGACTTTAGGGATCTGTTTTGTTAAACCTCAGTGATAAGAGCTGAAGTTCCAGGTTTTCTGGTGAACATTAATGACACAATCCTTGATTTTGTTAGCACCAACATTTCTAAAAGTACCCTCCCTATTTAATGTTATGATATTTTGAAAACTCAACCAAGTTCACAGTTGAACTTATTCACACTAAAAACCGGCATTCTCTAAACTGCTTCAGATCAGATGGTGAGCAGTACAGTCAGGACAGCGTGTACTAGTGTTGATATGATGAGCGAGCCCTATTGATTCACAAATACTGTGGGAAGACCGACTGCTCATGGCATTGTTATGAACCTTAATATCACCTTTACACGCACACGCTCATACACAAATTCCTTGCGTCCCAGAGGAGTGCATTCTGAAGTGCTGTGAGTGCTGGCGGCCAGTGAGGAAGCAACCCTGGTCCTCCTCCCTGGTCGCTTCCTAGTATTGTTACTACATCCATCTCTTAAATGTCCATGTGAGTTTACGTTAGTGTGTATATACATAGGCCTATTTTAGGTGCAATTTTGGTAATGGTATTGATCTGGAAACTGTCCTCACCAGAAAAAATGGCCGAACTGATTGTGTAGACATTCCTATGGCTAACATTAGTGAGTGTCATTTCCATAAATATGCTACATTTCACTGTTTTTACTTCATGTTAAAATGCAACTTATTTTTAATGAGCCATGGTGCCCAATTGACTGCTAGACTCTAACTTTCTGATGGGGGATGTAGAGATTTGTCCATCGGGCAAAGCTCTTGGCCAGATGGCTGTACATTTTATACCGACCTCCCATCTCTGTCTGGTCATTTTGTGTGTTGGGAGCATCTGGATTATATCCAGATCAGAATTGTGCACTTCAAAAGGTTGGTGTAAATGCACCCAAGAGGCACTGAGAACAAGCATAATCTGATGGCCAAAACCAGGTGGTCTGAGGCACATTTTAACCAGATGTTGTACTGTACAGTGCAGTGTTCTCTCTGCGAGGCACATCCTAAAGAAGAAACATACATTGTTGCACATCCAATTAAATACATTAGCATGTTTCCTTCCTTGCTAACCATAGATGTCTCTAGTGTAAATGCACTGTGGTTAAATCCAATCTAGATCCAAACATGCCTTCTCATACGATCTTTTTTTCCCCAGCTTCAAGTTGCGTTTTCCAGTGCACTTTTTTTCCGTACATGGAAACAAACTCCTTTGAATCTTCAGCTTTTCTTGTGTTTGCTGTGTTTTCAGGCTGGAGTCTGAAATCGGGGCACTAGAAAGTGAGGAGTCCCAGATATCAGCCAAAGAACAGGTTCTTCGAGAACGCCTGAAAGAGACAGAGCGCTCTATAGAAGACCTGCAGAAGGTATACGAACAGGAACTTGTATGTAACCTTGTATGAGCTATTGAGGTGCTTGGTGAGCTACAAACTGTTGGCTTTGAAACAAGTATGCTAATTCTTTCTTAATTCTTCTCTAACTAGTTGGTACTGAACTGTCATGTATAGAGTATAGAGTCTTGTATAGACCTCTTGCTGCTAATTGAAAACATAAGTGTGCTCCATATATGTGAATGAATTGGGTTGCTTTGTGTCTACAAAAATTTGGTTATTTTTTTAATATTTTATTGGTTATTGTTAAAGTAGTGACAGGATACTATATCTAATTTTGTAAACAACTGAACACAGCTTATTATCTCAAATTTAATCTATTCATTAGATTAAATTGTTTATTAAAAAGTTTTGATTATATACACCCTTCAATCAGGTTATTTTTGTAAAAACTGAATATATATATATATATCAGTCTGCTTTGACTCATATGGATTATCTTTGGTCTCTCTTTCAGAGTCTGATGACCCAGGATGGAGGTATGAGTGATGACACACACACACACACATTGAAAACGCAAAAACACACCTAATTGGGGTGGTGTCCTCCCCTGAGTTATTGTTGTTTCCTAGCAGAGGGGTCCCTCTCTTTCTATTTCTGTGTGTGTGTGTGTGTGTGTGTGTGTGTGTGTGTGTGTGTGTGTGTGTGTGTGTGTGTGTGTGTGTGTGTGTGTGTGTGTGTTTTGTGTGTGTGTGTGTGTGTGTGTGTGTCTGGATAATAGTCTCGCTGAGGCAGGAGAGATGCAGGCCAGAGCACGCTCTTGAACCCCCATGGATGCACGCATAGACATATATACCTGCACGCAAACACACGCGTGCACTGAAACACACACACATACACACTCAGAACACAGAGACTATTGAAGCTCTCACACACAAGGCCATGACTCTGCAGCCTGCAGTCGTTGGCTTTATCCCCCCCTATTCACCATCAAGCCCTGTAAGCCCCTAAAGCTTTGTTTCTGCCATCACACACACACACACACATGCACGCACGCACACACACACACACACACACACACACTCTCTCTCACTCACACACACACACACACACACACACACTCACACTCACAAAGCAGTAACAAATACACAAACACACACACACACACACACACTTCTGCTGCATAAGCACTGAACCTCAGGGGTGCTAGAGTTGCTGTGGACACAGAAACAGAGAGATGGTGGGTGTGTGTGTGTGTGTGCGCAATAGGGGCGGGCAGGGCCACTCAGGGGTGTGGTTAGTTTCTCTGTTAGGGGGCTGGGCTGTAAGTGTGTGTGTGTGTGTGTGTGTGTGTGTGTGTGTGTGTGTGTGTGTGTGTTTGTGTGTGGGTGTGGTTCATGTTAAGAGGTATGTGTGTGTGTGTGTGTGTTTTTGTATCAGGGTGTGGTTATATCACTAAGGTGTGTGTGTGTGTGTGTGTGTGTACCCAGCGTGCATGTGTGTGTATCAGCATGTGCCTGCCGTATGTGTGTGTGTACGTGTGTGTTTGCGGCTCTCCCTCACGGCCTCTAACATCCCTCTGACCATGTGTCATTTCCCCCCCTGTGCTCCTGCTCACTAGATGCCACCGGCTGCATGTCCGCCCCTCTCTCGGACTGCACGGACCCCGATCCCGACCACCTCGTCCTGGCCACGCAGCCCCGGACCGGCCCACCTGCCTCTGGAGAGCACGCCATACCAAGACCTGGTAAGACAGAGGGTGAGGGAGGGGAGCGAAGAGAGAGGGAGGGAGGGAGGGATGAAGGGATGACAGGAAGGTTTTTGGGCCACAGCCAAGTTGGATTACCAGGACAAACTCACGCGCACATGAGGGTGGACAGGCACAGATACGCACACGTTTGCACAAATTGAGTCAAATCTCATGTGGACAGTTTCACATCAGCGTGTGCTCAGAATATGTGGCCAACATAGTCAGAAACTCATAATAACATAAACTTAACATGTGCTTAAAGTACACAGACATGCACTGTGCTGTCTCCAAGCTCATGTTAGTAATAACTTTTGACGAAAGAAGTGTACAACTGAGAACTTAGATTTAAAATAACTTTTTTGTTAGCAAAATACAGTTGAAGTATGCAGTATATTCTTGTTGGTAGCAGTATTTAAAACATAATGGTATTACAGAAACTATTAGCATTAAATAAAATTTAGTTTTAGTAACGTGAACTAGGTTTCGTTTTGGTACCTGTGGGTTTGGGATTAGTAATAGTTTTAGTTTTGATATTTCTGTTAGTTTTAGACTTTAATTTAAGTTTCTCTTCTTAAAGAGAAAAACTAAAAAGTTTTTATTCTGAAGGGAAATATGTTAAATTATGTTACATGTTTGTTTGATTGTATTTTGTGCTGCTGACTTTGCAGTGCTGTACAAAATAAAAGCTCAGCTTTTGGGGCAGAGTGATGAAGTTAGACAGTTGTGCACAACAAAAGGGAAGTGTACGAACAGAATAATAATATACATAATATTATATAGGTATTTATTCTTGGGTACTTGTCTGCGGATAAAGTTAAGGTTATTTTTTACTAATTGCATATATAGCAGTTTGAATGAGAAACTCATACTGCAGATATCAGTTTTATCAAAGAACACTGTGTCCCCATCGTCACGCTTTACTCCCTCCACCTTTTCCTCCCAACACCCCCCACCTCCTCCACTGGTCCCTCCCCACCCCTTCCCTTTTCCTTCAAACTCCACTCCCTTATGCATCCCTCCTCTCTGTCTCTCCTCCCACCCCCCTAACAGCAATGTTTGCCATGGAGATCAACGTACAGCATGACCCGCAGACCGGCGAGCAGCGCATCCTGTCAGCCAACCGCGTGAACCCACTGGATGCGGCGTCGCGTGGCATCAAAGTCTACGATGACGGCAGAAAAGTGGTCTACGAGGTCACTTCCTCCGGGGGCGTGTCCACCACCACTGTGGAGAATGGTTGGAGCTCTGCGCAGGTTGACCAGCTGATCCAGCGAGCTGCCAGGCCCGGCTCACAAGGGGGAGATGGCGGCAAGGGTCATGTGATGGTGACCCCAGCTGCCCCGCAGGCCTATATTTCCCCAGCAGATATTGATGATCTGTCTCCGCCCTCCTGCGCCCCGCCATCCATCCCTTCAAGCCCACCAGCCCAGGTCACCCTCCAGAGGGAGACCCGGCTTGGCATGATGCCCCCCTCTGCTCCCATTACAACCCAGCCTGGCTCCCTGGCCCACCCAGGCGCCGAACTCACCTCCCTTCCCCAAGCCAGCGAGGAGCACCCGGTCACCATGGTGTTCCTTGGCTACCAGGACGTTGAGGACACGAGCGAGAGCAGGCGGCTGCTAGGTTTTGATGGCGCCGTGAAGGCCGAGGTGGTCTTGATTGACGAAGACGACGAGAAATCGCTGAGGGAGAAGACGGTCACTGACCTTTCCATCATCGACGGCACAGCGGCCGACCTCGTGTCTGGGCGACCGGCCACGTCTGAGGCTGTCAGCACGGAACTGTCATCTGACGGTCGTGAGCCTGACAGTGCCTCCTCGCCCCCTGCAAATCCTGACACCAACACGGCCCCCCCGCCCGGCCTCACCCCTCCCACAGGTACAGACAAGAGGAAACGCTGCGAGTGCTGCACCCTCATGTGACTGAATCTTCTCCCTCTTCCACCCTTTTATTATTACCCACAACACCCCTCTCTTCTCCTCTGTCTCTGGATGGTTACTAACAGAAGCCCTGCCTTCCTCCTCCTCCTCCTCCTCCTCCTGCTCCTCCTCTGGACTCTGATCGGCTGGCACACACATGCACGCACACACGCTGTTGCCTGACCTTTGACTTTGTACTCAGTTACGTTAGTACCTCTACGTCTCTGCTCTTTCATTACCCTTCTCTGTCAACATGGAGTCTCTGCCTTCCCGCCTCCTGTCTCCTCAGACAACACAGTCTATTTCATGAATTCAAATGAAGCAGGAATAAAGCTGTTGTCATGCTGCTATATTGACGGTGAAAACAGACATACTATAGATGGAGAAAAATGTATGTTTGTTGACAAACAGCTTAAACCAGGTTATATAAAAATACTGTAAGCAGTCAATAAGACTTTACGGACAATCAGTCACATTGCCATGCTGTCTAACCAAACAGTACGTCTGTCTCTAAGGACAATCAACCAGATCATCGCTTTTAATGAGCCAATTTTTAAAAAAACACTCAAACAGACAGACAGTCTCAGTTATGGCTTAAATTTCTCTTTTCAGTCACTTCCCAACTTCCTTTTCTCTTGACAGTTTATCTCCTGTTGTCTCCAGACATACACAGACAAACATAATCAACCACACATAAACAACCTACAAACTCAAACAACCCCCTCCCTCCCCCCCATCCCTTGTACAGACTCTCTGGCCAGGGCAGAGAGGAAGGTTCTTGTTGCCTTGGTTTCTTTATGTGCCTCTTCATTCTTCCACATTGATAATCCTAACAAAAAAAATAGAGATAATTAGTTTCTATTACACCTCTATTTCAGTTTGCTGTTACCTAAACCTTTTTTTTCTTTTGTTTTGAATCTTAAAAGGCCATTGAATCATTGGGACACCTGTTTCCATGTGAAACAGAGGTTTTTGACGCTGTAGTTAGTAGTAACAGGACTCTCTCTCTCCTCATCTCTCTCTTTCTCTCTCTCTCTCTCTCTCTCTCGCTCTCTCTCTTTCTCTCTCTGTGTCATTTTGTCCATTAACTTCAGCTATTCCACTGCTGAAGTCATTTCCTCCTATTCTAGAACTTCCTAACTCAGCAGCCAATAAGAGGCCGTGGAACACCTTTTGGCACACAGTAGGATCTATACAGCCAACTTCTCCTGCAGAGCACAGGAAGCTAACGGCAGCTTAATGAGTACACTCTGGCAGCGAAGGAACATGTATTTCCACCTATGAAAACAAACATGGGTTACCACTAACAGCCTGGGCACAAGATTGTGAATAATAAATATTAACAACCATTACCACATCACCAAATTACAACTATGACAGCTGTTGCTCATATGAGCTTTTTAGAAAAAGTGCCATTCACGTTCATCTTTTTGTCCATTAAATTCACCTCATCACTGCAGGAGGCTACCAGAGATCCATTATACTCTTTACAATTCACAGAAACTGAAAACACTGCCAGCTCTTACTGTAGTCACCAACCAGGCCCTCGTTTACAAGGGTGCTACAAATAATGTGGCCTGGGTGTCATTATAACATCGTATATATTACACTGCAGGACATTCACGTGGCTGGCTTTCAGAAAAGCTCTCAAAAGCAGTAATCATCCTCATTCTGCTGAATGATAATGGATGCTCTGGGAAGATTCTTTGCTTCATTTAAGCGTCTTTGATGGAACATGGAGTAGAGAGGACGGTGATGCTCAAATGGCATTTGGTGAATTGATTTCTGGAGAGTTAGTGACTACTGCACTTTGCCATTGTACACTGCAGAGACATATCTGTTGTTAGAGTGAGATCAATAAAGTTATATGGGCCAGATATGTGGTTGAAGAAGACATTTGCACATTTTCAAAGAGGTGAGAGAGGCTCTTCAGATCCCAAATAATGTCATTTGGGGGTGTTTTTGTGGCTCCGGTGTGTAGCAAGTGACTGTAATGTACTTGGTTCAAATCCAACCTGGGTCTTAATATGATTCATTCAACATCAAAATGTTTTATTCATATGGAAGAAAATTGACCTGAAGAGCCTTAGCAGCCTTTTTGTGGAGTGCAGCACATTTTCTTTCTCTTTCTTCAGCCATTTGTGTGACTGCTTTACTGGTTCCTGGCCATAGAATAAAGAACATCCCTGCACTGTGTACTAACTCTGATAATAGTCACAGAAACGATATTCCTTGGCAACAAAATAACATATTTCCAGCATTGAAAGGTCTCCGGGTGAATCAGTTCTTTCTTTACATGGCTCTGTGCACAGCTATACAATCCCACCTCTAAACTGTTCTGTCCGTGCACAACTGTAGGTCGGCCTTCAAACACACATGCTTTAGTGTGATTGGCCACTGCTGCTGTCAGTCAGTCCAGCTGGCTGTGATTGGCCACCACTGGGCCCGCTGGGGTCTAGTTTCCTGTGTAGATAAAGAATGTAAATATGCTCTATATTCTATTTAGTGATGATTTTATTTTCCACATCTATATAGAGATCTAGAGATAATTCTGGGTATTATGGGAACTAGACATTGTTCTGATGTCCTACGATGCCATATCACAACTGTATGAGTGCACAAATGCGAGCTTCGTATATTTTCATTCTCTAACTTCACTGCTTTGCTGTGTGTAATCTCACTATTAACCCCACACAACTTTTTCCCCCTCTTCTGACCACCACCTCCTTCTCTGAACTCTTGGCGGCTGCTACCATTCCCAGACGTGTTACGGTCGGCCTCAAAGGCATCTTTGAAGGATCTTAAGATATTGCGCAGAGGAAGTATCTTAAATAACCATACCATTAGATTTGCATGGCAGCCTATTAACTGCAAATTTCATTAAATATACATTACTGCTTACCATTACCCAGGTTTTTACATTTATTCTCTCCAGACAGCCATTGCTTTCCATTCATTTAAGTAAATCCATTATAGTTTTCTATGCTATTAAAGGTTGAAATTCATCTGCAAAATGACAATTTTACAGATAAAAGGTGCCAGCACATTTTATCGATTTCACCACGTCTATGTTTATTCTTCTGGCTCAAATTTACCACAGCAGATCTTATGGGGGAAAAAAAAAACACCATGATGGTTCTTCTGAGCTGTTTGAGCAGTTATTTTCCCTTATTAAGTTTATTTGCAGCAAGGCTCATGTAGGCTGGGGACAATTACTCACGTTGTCCTGTTCAGTGCCCCAGAATGGTCAAGACATATTCACTGCATGACTGTTTGGTTTTAAAGATTTTAAAGGACGCTATGCAGAGAACAGAGAAGTGTATTCTCAAACATGTAGTGTTAGTTTCCCCCAAGGTGTAATGCACACACATGATTGCAAAGAAGCACTTACTGTATGTACCTACAAAAGATAATGCAATCACAATCTCAAAAAAAAAAAAAAACATTTTTAAAAAAGGAGAAAAGAGTAAGACTCAGTTGAAGTTAATGCAGTCTGACTGATGCGGTTTGCCTGTTTGGGTTTGTGTGTGTGTGTGTGTGTGTGTGTGTGTATATTTGATGTAATGCGAGGAGCTGTACATGAACAACAGACTTGTTGAGTTTACCAGCCCCACTGCCACGCCTGCAGTACTCCTCTAACTCTGTAGGGGTCTCTCTTTTTCTTGTCTGCCTGCCCTCATGGTTGTATGGACTGTTAAAACAAAAAGGAGCCATTTTCTATTGTTCAAACTATCTCTCTTCCCTCCTCTCTCTCTCTCTCTCTCTCTCTCTCTCTCTCTCCCTCTCTTTCTCTCTCTCTCTTTATAGTTATGACAACTCGTTCTCACATTCTCTCTCTCCCTCTCCCTCTCTGATGTCTGTATCCTCTCTCTATCTTTGGTCAATAAAGCTGAGTTTCTCCAGTGCCCCCCTGCCGTCTCTTGCTTGTTGTTCTTTCCATCTGTCCCTAACATTCACTTTTTCACTGGCTGCTGACAAAGAGATCACAAGCTATCCTTACTGCATCCCTATCTGTTATAATGCCCACTGCCACTAACAAGCACACACACACACACACACACACACACACACACACACACACACACACACACACACACACACACACACATTTTACACTTTAATTTGGGTGATAGTTTGTCCAGAGCGTTTTCAGTTGTCACTAAAGACACAGTGGTTTGGTGGTACATAGGTTATATAAATATAGGCTCCAATAGACCATTAAAACTATTTTCCTCCATTTACTGTTAATTGAGACAGGTTCTACTTGCCTGCAGTGTGCTATGCCCTCATGAGCTCATTTATTTTCTTAGGTTCAAATCCAAAACACACACAGAATTAAAAAATCAATAAGATATATGCAAAGAAATATAAATTATGACTAAAACCTTTATTATCAGTCTGTTCCTCGAAATATTAAAGCCCAAACTAAAGGATAGCTGTACTAGGATGTGATATGTAATCTCTCTCTTTAGTCTGTATGACTAGCCACTGCTCATGAGAACATTGCTACAATACTGCAATGTTCCTGTAGGGACCTATAAAGTGTCGGTGGCATCTAATGAGTTTACACACTGCAAAAAATATTGAGTAGGTAGCATGGGAAGGTTAGTTTTTAAATAAACAGATAGTTGGATCAATCTAGATGCCCTAGTTTTGCAGGAGCCCTGAGGCGCCCCCTTGGTATCAATACTAGGTACTGCAAGAAATCATGAAATGGTACACCAACACCCTGCATACTCACTCATCTGACATTACTGACACCACTGATAACTCCACAGCAATGAACTTTGAGGACAAAGACGTTGAGGTAACAAAAAACAATAACATGTATGACACAAGGACACCTCAAGAACCAGCCACATATGATAAATAGTGTACATACAATACATTGTGGATATGTGTCAGAACATAGATGCCTTCTAGGATCACAGATTGTCTTATGTTTAACCAGTACAGTACAGTAAAATTACAGAGATTAGTTTTGTAATTGTACAATGTCATCTTTCCTTTGATAATGTGCATGTATCTCGGACTGGGTGCTGTTATCCTTGTTTAAAGCACACATGATCTGGGGAGGGAAGCAGCACAAACATAACACACTTCTCCAGAAGATATAATCCGGGTGGTATATGATTATATTAGAGACGCCGTAACAACCAGCATCTGAACACAGGACTAACATTTGAGACACACACACACACACACACACACACACACAAACACACACACACTCTTCCTGCACAGCAGATGGGTGTGTTTTCCGTGATAATAAACACTAATTAATTTATCTTAAGACAATGACTGATGTCTCCAACAGAAACCATGACTGCGGATAATTATTACACACACACGCACACACACACAAATAAAAGGATGACAATACACGTCAATGGTGGAAAATGTGTATCACTGTAAGCATGAATCATAACATTGTGATTTCAACTGCTCGAGACTACAGTGATGTAGTTCAATGCAAGGCCAATAACTTTATGATCTTGTAATGTGATCCATGTGATGTAAGTCAAACTTTACATACAAACAGCAGAACAAAAAAAACTGAAAGCAAAAATGGATAATCGTAATTATTAGATGCACAGAGATCTTAAATTATGATGTATTCTGTGCAACAGGAGAGCCAAGTCTTACCTTACTGCTACTACTATTACAGCCACTATAACTACTAATGCCAATACAGTTGCCACTACTGTCACTACTATTCCCACTAACAGTGGCAGGAGAACTAGTAGATGCAATAACACCATTTATAAATACTACTTACTACTAATCACTGGATTATTACTAATGCATTAATGTTTAAGCAGCATTTTAATGTTAGATAGTTACATCTATATCTTATAAACTGATCATACATCATTTTAATCTGCAAAGTAACTGTAACTGTCAAATAAATGTAATAGAGTAAAAAGTAGGCCTACAATCATGTAGAATTGAAGTATACAAATGAATTACAGAAGCAAAGTATGTGCACCTTGAAATACTGTAAACTTAAGTACATGATTTGAGTTACTTTTCACCTCTCGCTACGTCTACCGCAGTTGCTCCTACATACTGTGGCACTGGCAGTGGTAGCAGTAGCTGTAGTTTTGGTAGCTGATGACGTAGGCTAGCAAAAGCAACGGTACAGCAGTTACAGTACGTACCTGATTTGACAGTTGATGTTTTGTGTTGCTACTTCAGTTGCAGTAAGTGTGAGTGTCAGGAGGTTAAGCATGATAAGACGTGAAATCAGATAAACTTCCTCAAGGTGGAACTGGGTCACTGACTCAGCAAAGAACAGAACCAAGATAAAAATACAGCCAGAGAGCACAAGGAGGACTTATAGATTTATTATCAATGTCATGATGCAAGTAGAGTTGCTCTAATTTAAGAGAATGATAAACCAGTTTACAAAATATCAATTATTATAGCATTTCACTGATTTACAATCCACTACCAAAGCATATGTGCTGGTTGTGTGAATCAATAGCTGGTAATATGATCACATTTATAAGACAGATGCATGTTTGCGTCACTATCTTTTCACAGTGTCACATTTACACGTGGAAGACAGATGGATTGCCACGCTTTCACTTAATTTGAAGGATTACATATTCCATCCTGTTGAGGCTTATGAAACTCAAAACCAGATAACAAGCCAAAAAAGGTCTGTTTTCCTTAGTCCACTGAAAAATCTACATTTTTCTGATATATATTATGATACACTATATTAACATAGAGTTGGTGAGTATACATTGGAATATGTATAGGTCAAGCACAGGTACAAATGATTATAAAAAAACTAACAAATAAGACAATGGTAACAATAACCCAAATTCTGTTCTATCATAGGATACAGTCAAACACCGGGGGTTACCGTGACAACAGCAAATGGGTATCAGGCTCCCATTCCGACCAGACATCCTCACACTGCCATGGTGAGTAGTCTGTATCCCTGTGTGTGTGTTTTTATGTATATCTAAGGGTGCAATTACTTCAATCCAAAACTATAACGTTACAACCAGTTTAGTTTATTACTTTATTTGACAGGGACAGTGCGTGTTAATAACATCTCGGAAGTGTAAGTCTTTCCACAACATATTCTACCCATGATGTGCTCACATGTTTGTCAGAAAGCTTGGTTTAACAACAAAGGAGGAATCAACACCCGGGCGTTATCTGCCAGGAAATCTTTCATGATGCAGGTATAAAGCGGGGACTGTTTGTTCACCTTTTACAGGTTATCACAAGCTTCCAAGCGACCATTTCCACTACGCCACTCACTGAAATGGTGTGCATACTATGTGTGTATGTAGTTGCTGACGGCCAATTTTCCTTGTACCTCAGTAGGAATAGATTTCAAAAAAGATGTAAAGCACAAATCATTGGAAGAACGGGACAACCATGGTGCTAAGAGACTCAGACAGGCTAGGTACTTTGCTAGAAGAGATTCAATTCTACGCAGTTCAAGACAAGGCAAGTTGAGGGAAAGCGGGCACATCAGGAAACTAAGTCCCACAACCATTCCTTGAATTCCAGAGTGTAGAACATAGTGCTTCCTAGTGTAAGATAAAACTAAATACAAGTGACACAACTATGATATCTGAGGTTGGGTTTTGTCTGTCTGGACTGGCTCCTGCACAGGGTACTGTATGTGCTCCACATAGACTGTTTGTGCTGAATTACACTACTGGGGAGGACACACTGTTCATACTGTTCACACTGGATAGGAAGATGTCCTCCTACGCTGTCTCTATAATATTTTTTTATAATTACCCATTGTATATTTATAGCACTCAGTACATTTAATATTATCTTACTTTACTGTCGCATTTTTATCTGCTGCTATATTTCCAAAGGGAACTTAAAATGAGTCTGTGGTGCTGAATAGTGTATTTATAGTGACCTTACTGTACTTTTGGGCATTTCTATCTATACAGTATCAATTTAATACGGTACTTAGAGTATATTTCTACAGGGAGCTGTATCCTGTCAGGCAGTGAAGTGAGTTTCAAGTTTATAGTGACCTTATTATTCCCACATGGTACATTTTTTATGTAGTAGTAGCCATGCTGTTCTGTAATAGTTATTCATTTACTTACTTATTCATTCATATGTTTATTTTATTTGATAAATATCACATCATAACTTAATAACTTATCATGTTTTATAAGTAATGTAAAGCAACTATAATAGTACCATATAGTAAATGCAGTGGGGTAAATGGTGCAATAATTGCCTCTTAAAGGGGTACTAAGGGGTATTTAGTGGGCCCTGTTACACTTCCATGAAGGTGGGGGGGCTTCTGAGACATGGACTGAAAGTAGACTAGTTCAAGTTTTGTGAAACAAAAACAGAGGCAGAGATATTCTGACTTTTAGCCTCCAGTATGAGTCTTGCCCAAAAACCTACACTTCCCTTGATGCAAGTTGATAGCGTCCCTGCTTGATGGTGCCCTGCTCTTCAAACTCCTCACCTAAAGTTTGTAACACAGGCTCTCTGTTATTACTTCGACATCTCAAACTGCCTGAGGTGACCCTAATGACATCATCAGGGTTATGTTCAGACGCTGCTCCTCCATGGCCACAGCAGACATGTTACAGTAGGTTATATACAGTTCCTCTTTAAATGTGGTCGAGCAGCATGAAGTGGCATCAATATAAAAAGGTATTAATCATCATTCAAGTAGAAGAAATCACCTGAAATTATACTTAATGTGCGGCACTTGAGTGAATGTAGGCTAGCGTACTGTAGTTAACGTCACCGCCGGGTTCTGGGGTGTTCTGAGTTTTGTGCCTCTGAAAATGCCACCTGAGCACATTTGGGTGAGGGGGGTGTAGAGCTGGAGGTGGGGAGACAGAGAGGTGGGGAACAGGAGCAGGGGAGGCTGGGAGAGGGGAGGGCCGGGCTGCAGTCAGGTTGTTTTGCAGCTGAATAAATGAATGAAAGGCGGTAACCTGATCCGCGCGGGTCGGCCTTCATTGTGCTCGGCTGGAGCTCGCGCTGGCGGCTCGCTCTCTGATTGTCTCTGGAACGGGACAGAAAACACTCCCAGGACCTCGCGAGCCCTGCATTATTCAGCGCGCGTGCCTGGTAAAGAGAGAGAGAGAGAGAGAGAGAGAGAGAGAGAGTAGGGGAGAGAGGAAGAGGAGGGAACTGTTGGTTGGAAAAGCTGGCGCGTAAAAGGAGCTCAATGTCATCCCAGTCGGAGGCTGCCGTTACCGTTATTGCCGCTGTTGAGAGCACACGAGCATCGGTGCCGCTACTTCTCTTGTTCGTTTGTTTCTGGTGCAGCAGCTGCAGCCACGTTTGTTCTTCGAGGTGAACGTTAAAGAAGAAGAAGAAGAAGAAGTAGTAGTAGGAGACAAAGCGAAAAGAAAAGAAAAGAAGGAGAAGGAAAAGAAGCAGCGGTCAGCAGGTCGGTTACGCCTCCGCCGTTAAAAACTAATCCCGGTTATTATCCGTTAATTAGATCGTAAGGAGCTCCGGGGGGATCAGCGGTTTGCTACACATCTTTCTCCACGCAGGTAAACACAAGTAATGCCCAAAACATAACGTAAATGTCATTTTAAGTGAAGTTTCCGTAGGAGAGAAAACTCATATTAAGGGATATTCAGTGAAAGTGTAACGTTAGCTTGGGTGGAGGGTGGGTGTGTGTGTGTGTGTGTGTGTGTGTCAGTCAGTTGGGGGTCCTTTTTTGTTGTAACGTTATGCTGACGGTGTTGCCGGTTAAGTGTGCGCTGGTTAATAGAAACAGAGCTTGTAATTACACTGATTGGCTTTAAAGTGGGGAGGACACAGGATACTGCACCCTCCTCTCCTGACAGAGAGAGAGACGTCCAAAGGAGGTCAGTGGACCAGACTGCTTGCTGCAGTAGTCTCTATTTCTCTCTTTGTGCTCCTCCTCCTCCTCCTCTGCATCACTTTAACCTAGATCTAAGAAATGACCTTAACCTGGTTTTCATCATCCACATACTGGATGACTTGGCAGAGCTAGAGAGACTGTCTTCTTGGTGCTGTCACTTTTTATGTCCCTCACCTTAAAACCATTATAATGTTGTTTAATTTGCTGTTTACTCACATTTATTTTGTCCAGTCTAGTTTGATCAGTATGTTTCTTTTAACCTTACTTGTAAGCTGTGATTTCTCTGACATGCACACAGTAGGCTACATGCTCTTGCTCTTGTAAGTAAAAAACGCTTGATGAAACCTCAGCACATGGTCAAGTGGCAGTGTACACAATTTCAGCCCCACCCCTACCGCACAACACTCATTAGTTGCATTTTGAATATTAAACGCACATTCACATTTTGAAAAGGTGGAAAGAAGAAGGCAGTCACGACTGTGTTGGTGTGTCACAGAGCAGCAGCTGATCAAACCAAGGAGAGCGATGGCACAATGTAAAGAGCACACCACCTGCAGCCAGACATCGTTTGTTTGCTCCAGATTTTCTTGTGGTGAATTTTCAATCTTTCTCTTTGCCTGTAGCTGTTGCCAAGCAACTTGCAGTTCTTTGATTGGAGACTTTGACAATGTTCATGTTCAAGGTGGGACGGACGTTGCCATGCTGAATGTAATTAGCTGATGGATTTGTGTGTGTGTGTGTGTGTGTGTTTGTGGGTATATATAAAAGAATCCATTGTGCCCATCTATTCTAAAAATGCACTCTCATGGTGCAGAAATATTCTGGTTGAATACTTCACCTCCACCAAATGCTGTTTTTCAGTTAAATGAATCTCCCTGCAAGTCACCTTGACCCTGTTTCCCCGTCGCTTTCAGTCACACTGATTGATTTTACTTCACTGTATTGTTACTGGCGTTTTGCAGTGCAGCTGACCAGCACAACACCAGAAAGGGGGGGGTTGGAGGCTCCACAAATCAAGCACGACTTGTTTAACATTCTTACAGACGCTCTGTAAAGAGATGTGTTCGTTTTCTAGTTAATCTTGGATTTGAGAGCTTTTATTTATTCTGCACCCGGTTTACACAGCAGTGCCCGTAAGATTGGCAAACACATCCACCTGGCAAGAGGAAGCCAGGAAGGCAAAGGCAGCATCAAAGCACTGAACAAAAAGCTCCATAGAAAAGCCACTGGTGAGATTCTGGTCAGATTTGATCAGTAACTTTCAAAACTGAGGGGCAGACAAAGTTGAAGCGGAGGTATAGGTCTGTTTTCATTGCCCACACTCTATTTAGAATAGCTCATCACCCGTGTTTGCTGTTTTGTTTGGTCATCATTTGAAATTACTCGCTGATTCTGGAAATAACGATGCGAAGCAGCAAACTGCCAATTCAGGCAGAGTGTTTGCCAATACCTCTGCCGGGCCCCGGGACAGAAAATCACAGCCAGTTCTCCAATTTGATTAGATAGTCACTGACAGGAGGAACCTGCCACATACTGAGGGTCCCATTGAAACAGTCAGTGCCTGTTAGTGCTGCTCAAGGTTTCTGTGATTTGTAATATGTGTGTGTGTGTGTGTGTGTGTGTGTGTGTGTGTGTGTGTGTGTATGTGTATGTGTACATTTTCCATCCCCACCCCTCTCAGCACCATGGAGTGTGACAACATTGACAGGAACAACAAAGTTATCAAGGATGTCTTCTTCCTTCAGACCACTCCCTCTTCCCAGCAAACACACACACACACACACACACACACACACACACACACACACAGACACACACACACACACACAGACACACATATAATGACAGGTTACATAACATCTGTGTGGTTGATGATGCTAAAGATTGGTGAGCCAAGAGTACACAGGAGGTGGAAATGGGAATGAGGTAAAGGAGAGACGGGATGAGAGGGACCGACACGATGGCAAGAAACAATGAGTACAAGGAGAGATAAAGGGCGGTGCAGGTGTGTGTGGTGGGGGTAGTTGGAACGGTGAATGTAAGGCGAGTGAGGAAAACGTGAGGTAGGAAGGA